ATTTAGCATTCTCATCATCTTGTACATAAGCAGACATCTGTAGATAATAATTGACATGAACTTCAGAGTTATCAAAAATTTAATTTTATATAATATACAGTAGAGGGTAAGCTGTAACTCTGCTGCCATTATTTATTGATTTCTTTGTATTCAAATATTTCTTGTATATTAGGCAAAGCAGATTCAATTATATAATGTAAAATAAAACAACGTAACTGCTATTATACATAATCATGTATGTTTGTGTGAAATAAAGCTACCTGTTACATTAGTCAAAACTGAATAAGGTCAAGCATATAGTCACTAACAGAAGTTCCACAATATGGAGAATACTGAAATATCTGATCTCTTTTGCTCTCTCAGTATAATCAGTTTTAAAACTGAACCTATAGGAAGATGAAGATTCACCTATATTAATAAAAAAATGTTAGCATTATATTTGGCAAGTCATTCAGAATCATATAATACAGTTCCTTACCTTGAACAATCCCTTTCATTATAGTATTTTGCTAGCATAAAGCTGTATTAATGTTAGCAAAGTGATGTCATTAGATACCATGATTATCTCTCATACTCTGCAAACTCTTCTTACATGGAGCAGCTCCAAATGAATAGTATAGAATCAAATAAAATGCCTTGTATACTTACATTGAAAAAAAATCATTTCCTACCTGATGCACGCATGAATAACTTGTGTGACTGACTCTCATACCCATGAGATGTATGCAGCGTAATCCAACCTGGATTTATTAACTTTGCCCTAAAAAAGTTTAAAATGAGAAAAAGTAGATAATTCTCAGAGGTGAATACTTATAAGGTATGATAGCACAAATTAATCTAAACTCATAATAACTGTACTTCATTTAATGGTACTGAATCATCAAGTGTCAAAAAACCTCATAGTAGTTTTTCTTTTGTATAATGTAAAAACACATTCCTTAGGTTTTTAATAAGATAGCAAACCTACAAATTTTGAATGATTTTTTTCACCTTCGATGAATTTACAAGAATTCTTTGATATTTAATCCAGTTTTTGAAAGCTAAAAGTAACAATAAAACACTGATAATAATTTCAACACACCCATTCCAGTGTTTTCTTATAAGACCAAAAAGTAGGTATGTTGACCATACGAAAAAAGTAAAACCCATGTTGTAGCAGTAGCATTATGGGGCCAGTTCAAGGTAATAAAATGGCATACAATCTTTTGAGTTATGCAGAACTTTTATCAGCTAGTTATATTTCTTTTATAAAAGAAAAAGAGGAAATTGTAGCCACTAATTTTGTTCATTACAATTTCATATATAATAGAGTAGGTAAGCTTCTGTTCTCTTGATATTTTTAATTTCAGTCCCCATCAGCACAATGCAGAATAGCCACCAGCATAGAATTGAAGTTCTAAACATCTGGAGAGCACCAGATTGCCCTTCTCTGAGACAGAATATAAGAAAAGTGTCCTTCAGTACAAGATTTCTGTGACTTTCAAGTTTTAAAGTGATATCTCTTTAAAGCTGCTTCCCAAATGGCATCTGCAAGCTAGAAACATAGGTACATATTGATCACTGTGAACAAGCATTGTTCTTTATCTTGCTATAGTTTAAAACAGGTAAGTCCCACTTAAAACCTATGCTTCTTACCATGATATTGATGATAATAATAATTTATTAAACTTGTATGCCACTCAACTCTCAACAACTCTGGGTGGCTTGTGATAGTGGATTATGTGATCAAAGTTCTAGAGTGTTCCAGTATTTTAATTAAAAATGCCTGTGACCATATACAGTAATATACAATAAAATACAGTCTTTGTAAACATAAGATACATGTGTTTATATAATTGGACAAACAGAATTAGATGCTTAAACAGAATACATAAATCCTGGGCTACATACAAGATCTATTTGCAATGTATAATCTTCTCTGTCTCATCTGTATCAATTTTGGTATATGGATAGTACTTCCATGTACAGTTTGTTAGCAAAATGTGAAATAAATGTGAATGCCTTAACTAATGTATTGAAAGATAAACTATTACAGAGATGTGTAACTTGCAGCCCACAATTGCCTCCTGCACCCAAAGCATGGCTTCTATTCTAGAACCCTTCAGAGTAGCTGGCATGTTGCTTTTGGGGAGATTTCAAGGATTTAAATTGGAGGGCTTTCCCCCAATTTAGAGGAGGTGGAAGTTAAGCAACAAATTGGGCATCAAGCCCCTGAAAATATGGAAATAATTTCTTGATGTGACCCCAATCCAGTGACCCAGGAATTCAAATGTTGTATATAATGTCCATATCCAATCACTTTCCTTATTCTCCATTACATTAAAAAAGACATCTTATTAGAGATGACAGTCTCTGAATGTACCACAGAACACCTATGGATGTAAAGAGCTTCTGAATTAGCTTCCATTTGTTCTCTTTTAAGAACTGTTTCAAATAATGGCTATATAATAATTAACTTACACATAAGCACACAGAAGACTGTGATAAGCAGTAAGAGGTGGGTAGTCAAGGCCCCAGTATTGTAAATTATTGTCACTGGTGTTAAAGTACCTGAAAAATAAAGTAAAATCCTGAATAAATATATGTTTTCAGCATATTTTAGGGACAGTATCACTTTGGTTTTCTTATACAAATCTGAGGCTATTCTGTGAACAGAAAAACTTTTTCTTCTCCCCCAAATCATCTTTGGACAACTTTCTGAACAAGTGTTTCTTCAATAATAGATTGTAGAGTGATATACTTTTGGTTATATTAATTGTACACAATTTTATAAGACTCCACAGTGGCTTTGAAATCTTCAATATAGGCATAAGATTTCACAGAAGTTTGCCAGTCTTCAATATAGGTTGCCCTATACTTATGAAAAACCAAATCTAATTCCATTTTTTTCACTGGAAAAACACCAAAACAACAGAGATAAAGAGGAATGATTGCCTGCTTTTGTCAGCACACAAACTGCCGCACTTAGAGGAAAAAACTGTTCCATGTCAAAGCGTATCCAGATGGTACTGTTGGCTTGTAGAAAGGATGGATTTTTGAAAACTAAATGTACCTTAACACAATGTAACAAAATTGTAGACACACTAGGAATTTCAACCCGATAGGAATGTCAGCACAAGGATCATGAACTTGCTCAGACTTATCAATAGTAACAAATTCAACTGGTCCTGTAAATCCTCTAGAGAACAACACAAAAGTGCAAAGGCAAAGAATTTCCATCTGTATGATTCTTCTGTACTGTACATTTCAGTGGAGAATAATCAGAATTTAGACACATCTTCAAGTTGAAAGGCTTCAGAAGATTTTATTCAATGAAAATAAAAATTACAAAAATAAGATATCAGAACCTTTAAATCTCTGTGAAACAGAGTGACTAGTATTTTATAATTGCCAGGGGCAAGTCCTTAGTTTTTCCAGTCTATCCAGTCAAATGCAGCCAGTTTCTGACATTTATTACAATAAATGATATTTCTTGAATACCTTATAAGCAGCCTGAAGTATCTTATGAACAATTCATGATAAATCATATTTCTTAAAGCTGCATCTCTACCCTTTTATCCCACCATTTAAAATTTCTTACACCAGGATAGTTTTAACTTCTTCATTACAGTATTAATATTCTGCATTTTACTTGTTAATATCTCATTTATTCATCCAGCATTGCCCTCTAATTCAGTCTTGGACTCTATTAGAAAAGGTTCGTGCATACTGATGAAGAGAAGGCTAAGAAGTTCCATATTTCTAACTAGCAATAAGGAAGAAAAGATGCTGTCAAGATTGTCTTTGATAAATATATGCATGGACTCCAAAGCAAGATAGGGAAGGCAGAAAGATTTAAATTCATGCCTCTGGCTCAGGAAAACCACATATAGGAAAACTACATACAAATCACATTTCTAGTTTATTGCCCACCTTTTTAATATACTTTGCTTCTGAACAAAGGAGGCAAACGTGAAGTACATGGCAATATCACTTGAGTATATATGCATAGTGTTAACACTGTAGCCTCTTCAAAGGCAAAGACTTTTGGTGACCAACTTTCTAGAAATGCCAAGTTGCACATAGTATAATGAATCACAAAATATTTGTTGCTGTTGCAAAACAAAGCTAATATAAAATTGCTTCTAAATATACTTTCCAAACTGTTATATCTTATTATTCAGCAATATATGGAAGAAAATTCTAATTGCCCAATATTAAACCAGTAGAATGGGTTCAGTAACCATAGTTATATGTTTTTATGGCAGATAAGTGCACTTTCACTGGCTCTTATTCCCTTACTTGTAAATTCTTATGATTTATTAATCGTTTGGAACTGAAGCAATTCTTTTCTCTTTCTCATCATTTTATTAAACCCAATTTGTCCATAATTTATATATAATATTCTTTATTATTGAATATAAATAGAATTCACACAAAAACATTTACCATAATTATATAAAGAAGTTTTATATTGAGACAGCACATTAGCCCACTAGCTTCCGGACTGTGTGCTCTGATAGGCAACAAATCCCAAATTTTCTAGTCTTACAACTGTCTTCTGTTTTAACTGGAGAAGTGAAATATTGAGTCTGAATCTTTATGTACTCTACCTATGGACTGACTGTTAAAGATCAATTACAACCTGGCTATTGATAATTTGATGGTATAATAAATTTAATAAACACTAGGGCTGTGCACACTTTGAAAATTATTTTGAAAATGTTTCTAACTTCGTGTGAGCACAGCATCTTTTTGCTATTCATCAAAGCAGTCCATCTTCAGAATGTTGTGCGAGCCTGAAAAAAGGTGCAGTCACTTAAAAAAGTTGACTCATTCAAGTTAATGTGATTCTTATGCAGTCTCACCTTCAATCTTGATATAGAAGCTTGAAAAAAAGGGGCTACTTGCTGTGCCTGCATTCCTGCAATGTTCAAAGCACGGCACCTTTCAACTCATTTTCAAAATATGCACAGCCTTAATAAACAAAAAGGGGTAGGGGGGAGGGAGAGAACTTCTATATCACTGTTTCTTTTATCTTTCTAGATAGTTTATTACAGCTGGAAGATGAGAAAAACTTGAGAATGGGCTTTCTCCTTCAAGCAGACTCTCCATTAGCATACCCCGAACATCCATTATATATCCTGAATCATAATCTTCTCCTGATCCATGATATTTTTAGAGAAAAGGTGAATACTAGGTACCAGTTCTTCCTAACTGTATCTTTAATGCTTTATCTTTCTCTCCTGTGCCTTGCTCGTCCAGTGGGTCAATACGAATGTAATATAGCAATCTTTTTTCCCCTGTTTTCAGATTCCAATCAAACTAGATCTCTTAAAGAAAAGCAATAGCACAGAAAAGATATGTGCTTCTATTCAAAGGCAGAGCGTAATATAGAGACATCAGATATAAAGCCAGAGATGAGAAACCAGTGGCTTCGGTTTCAACTCCATATTTTAGAAATATTATAACACTTGCAGATCTGTTTAATTTTTTTTATTAATCTGCCCAATGCTTCCTCGCCATTGTAGATACAATATATGGGTACTCCTTACATAAATGGAAATAAAGACATACCACTGTTTGACTGGCAGATTGTAAGTAACTTCTTGCCAGTGTCTTTGAGCTTCATAGTCTCCATACATGGGTGGTTTTCCTGCACCTAAAACACAAAAGGAAGAAAAGATGAGAGATATGTTTGTGTGCTTATTTGTTAAACTATAAATTATATTGTGCATTGTTATGATTCTACTAGTACCTTTTATTTAATACTTCAGAAATTAATGTTTTCTATTCTAAATGTGTGCTCAGTGTTAAAGAGAAAAACATTTCAAATTCTTTCAAATACAGAAATGAAAACTTTTTTTGTATTCTGCAATAAGTCATGTATACAATCATATACATGATACTTTGTATGCAGCGTCCCATGTCCTGTTTTTTCTTAATGCAGCATTCCATGACCCATTTCACAGAATCCTCTGACCAAAAGCATGCAATATCATACAGCTTCATCTTCTGACCTTCAAGAAAAAAACGGTGTGCCACAGGGGTGCAAAAGGACAGCCCTACAACACAAAGGTGTTCTCTATTCACAATTTTTGGACCTAACACATAATGTCTGGTTTCCTCAGAAACATGATCCCTAATGCACTGCTATATACTATCACTCATTTACTAATGTACAATGGAGAAGGAAATAAGTCACCTTCTTTTCCTTTAAGCTTTACACAGATAAATAGTTGCTTTGCTATTGTAACATTTTATGCTTCATTTCTAATATGCTTGTGTCAAATTCAGTTGGAAGTTGTACTAGTTTTATATTTAACAAATTATGTTCCATTCTGCTCAATTCTGTTTCCTATTCTCTCTCAGCCAGTATTTCTTATGAAATATATATAACTTCCACAGGCTTCTTCTTAAGCAAGATATATGAAATAATGTAATTGTTGTAACATCAAAGTAAATATCTAATACATACAGATTATTCATTTCCTGCGTCCTGATTAACTAATGAAAGCACATACATATTTCTGCTAACGTATTGACTGTAACTTCACAGAAACTGAGGAGTTTCTTTTAAATCTAGGAAAGACTTTTATAATTCTTTCATATAATCTATTTTTTAACAGTTCATATATGTAAGTAGAGAAGGATAACATCTGTCCCTTTGTAACATGGGGACAAATTCCACAAGAAATAACCTTTTGGAGCAACTAAATCTCATTAAAATCTGATGATTTTAAAAAGCATAGACAGAAGATTACTGCCTTGCTTCTTGGTGAAGAATTGCTTTCAGAACAGAGACACATATACCCATGTTATAAACCCTTTTGGGTGGGGATTGAGAGAAAAAGCTGCAAAGTATAACATTTTAAAGTTATTATTAAGCAGATGCAGATCTTCAAAATAGCACACCACTATTACTTTAAAGTAATTATAGAAGCCTATGCCCTCAGAATAAGGTCCCTACGTATAAAATGCAATTATAAAACTTCCCCCAAAATCAGTCAAATACCAGCATACTCTAACCTGCTGCTTAAACTATCGACATATACAGTAGAGACAATAAACAATGCTATTAATGTGCAGACCCAACTTTGATATAAGGATTTGAGAATTATTAATATCACATTCTTAACCATAAAATATTCAATCTCATTAGTCAGTTAAGATTCTTTCATTCTAATTACTAAATCTAATTTTGGAGACAAAGAAAAGGAATTACAAGAAACATACGTATGGCAGCACAAACTGAATATATTTTGAGGATCATGATCAAATTACATACATAGTTTTAAAGTGAACATTTTGAGATTTTGCAAGAGCCATGAGCATTACATTCACATAAATATAAGAAACAAGTATAAAATGTGTCTTTCTCTAACAGTATTTTATATCATGTTCCCTGACTTACATACAGAAAATTCCCAGGCTGCCTAAATATGTGCATCCAGAAAAAAGAAAAGTATCTATTAATCTGTCAGAGTGGCTCTAATGTTTGATCTGGCAATCACAGCCTCAATCTGTTGTAACTTAGACCATTTCATGGGAAGGAAAGCCTCCAATCTGTTGGTGGTCTGTTCTTCTGTTCTAGTGACTGCTACCTGGGGACCCATGGCCAAACCTCAAGTTGATGCTGGCTGATGTCAGGGTCTTTGGTAACAAGACCATGTCCATCCATGATTTGTGGTGGATGAATTGGTGGACCTAGCATGTCCAGCCAGGTTTCAGATCCTGTATGAACCTTGATGCCAGGGCTGGGGAAATGGGCTTGCACTGATCTATCAGAACACCTTATCTGTGACCAGGATCACTATCCCAGAGATGGCTGGGTATGAGTGTCTGTTTGTTCAAATTGGCCTTCCTGTGAAACTGATTCTTGGTCTGGTCTACTCGGTGGACTGACAATAACCAGTCTCAATAAAAGTAGTTCTAGCTTTTATGTGGAATTGATTTCCTGGTTTGGTCTACCTAGTGGGGCTGACACATATGTAGTCATATGTTATATCTGGTCTTAGCCTCCAAGCAGCTTTGAGATCTGGAAGTAGAGGGTATTACCATCTGCCCTTTGTCATGACAGATCACTCCCTGTGATTGACTGCCACCCATTCCCTCCACAGAGCCGGGCCCAGGCGCTGTATGGATCCATCTGGTTTTTGGAGAGTACTTGGGGATTTCCCTGACAATCTTGCTATTGGCATGAGCAGCATCTCAGGCTCTTGACAAAGATGCTCCAATTGGCTCCTTAGTTCTCTGAGGAGCTTCTGGGGATGAAGCAGCAGAAGTGACACCTGGAGCGCACATGGCAGACAACAAAGACTGAATTTGACCAAGCCTGGGTATGTGCCCAAGTACATACCCACACTGTGGTGGTAAGAGAGGTGAAATGTAAGTATTTCTCCTCTCTTACTACATCTTCTGATTGTTGCCCTTTTCCTGGATGGCCAACTCTCTTTTGGGTAAGGGCCATCTCATTGATTTACCAGTTGGCTACTGTAATGTTTGCTCAACAGTTGGCAAAGTCACTCAGATTTGCTCCAGTCTGGACTCCACTCAGTCGGGGTCTTGTGCAATGACTGGGGCATCATCTTGCTAGGTTACCTGGGGTTCTTTTCAGCCCTTAAGGAGGCATTGTCTGCTCTCTCTTGAAGAGGTTCTCTCTGGATATGGAGGTATTAGATAACTACTGCCCCTTTGAGGTAAAGATTGTTCAGATGATGGTATGGGACTAACTGTGGAGCAACCTAGATGAAGTGGATTATCTGGACCCCTATCAATCAGGGTTTAGGCCCAGAGATGGGACAGAGATGGCACTGGTCACTTTGGTTGATGGCCTATGTGAAGACCTGGATCAGGGTAATGTACCTGTCCTGGTTCTTTTGGACTTTTCAGCTGCTTTTGATGCTATCAACCATGGTATCATTCTAGACTGGCTGCAGAGATTGGGGATTGGAGGCATTGTTCTGCAGTGATTCCTCTCCTTCCTCAGCAGTCAGTTCCAACTGCTGATAGTTGGGTGGAAAGGTCAGTGCTCTGGTTGCTCCCTTGTGGGAGTCAGTGCTCTCCCTTTGCTATTCAATATCTACATGAAGCCACTAGGGAAGGTAATCCAACAGTTTGGAGTCCAGTTTCATCAATATGTTGATGATACCCAACTGTATATCTCGACCCCAGCCCAGGCCAGAAATGCTGTCAAAGTCCTGTCCCAGTGCTTGGAAGCTGTGCAGGTCTGGGAGAGAACAGGCTTAAACATAACCCTAGCAAGACAGAGCTACTGTTTGTACATTAAGGATACTCTTTGCCCAATATTTTGTCTCTGGATAGGATGTCAGTGCCCTGAAGGAGCAGGACCACAACTTGGGAGTCCTCCTGGACTCACATCTCCTGCTAGATCAGTAGATGGAAGCCATGACTGGGGAGGCGGGGACGGGGGCAGGGGGCTTTGTCCAGCTGTGGCTGCTGTACCAGTTGTGACCTTACTTGGGATGAGAGGACTTGACTACAGTGGCTCATGCTCTCATCACCACCCATTTAGACTACTGCAACCCAATCTACATGGGACTGCCTTTAAAGACTATCTGGAAGCTTCAGTTGGTGCAAACTCCAGTGGCCCACTGCTTACAGGAGTTAACTATTGGCCACCTATTACTCTTGTTTTGAAAGCTGCATTAGCTTCCTATTAGCTTCCAAGTGCAATTTAAAGTGCTGGTATTAACCTATGAAGCCCTTTATGACTTGGTGCTTGGTTATGTACAGGACCACATCTCCCCATAGAGTTCACCCAACCACTCAATTAATGCTGGGAGAAGCAATTATATGTTCCCCATTTTGGGGAGGTTGGGAGGAGTGAAGCCCAGAAGCACTATTTTCCAAAGGGGTCAGACCTCTGGAATGATCTATTGGAGACCTGTTTGTCTCCAACACTATCTGCCTTTCAGAAAAGGCTGAAGATGGAGTTTTCTGGAAGGTTTTTGGGCCTTACACCACATATTTTGTTGAGTTATATATGCCTTTTTTTCCCCCCTGCCTTCAAATCAGTCTTGACTCCTGGCAACTGCCTGGACAAGTCCCTGCAGTTTTCTTGGCAAGATTTTTCAGAAGTGGTTTGCCATTACCTGCTTCCTAGGGCTGAGAGAGAGTGACCAGCCCAAGGTCACCCAGCTGGCTTCATGCCCAAGGTGGGACTAGAACTCCTGGTCTCTAGCCTGGTACCTTAACCACTACACCAAACTGGCTCCACCAAATATGATGCAAACTATAATACACATCATTGCCAACAGCTTCAGTTTAACTCTTTACATATTGAAGGTTTATTGCAGGATTACTGCTCTGCAGACATGTTTAATAGCTATGCTAACTTTAGAATCAGATATGAAACTTCATCCAAGCATTATTGTACTTAAAACTATACTTTATTGTAGTAAAATTCCAATCTAATAGCAAATTTGCAGTTACAGGTAGTCCTTGATTTACAACGGCAAGTGGGACTGGAATTTCCATGCTAAGCAATGCGGTTGTAAAATGTGACCACATCACTTAGTGATGGCAATCCCTGCAGTTTCAGTTGCCGTCGTTAACTGAATCCCACAGTTGTTAGGCAAGGCAACTTCCTGCCAGATTCCCACAACCAAAGTCAGTGGGGAATCCAGCAGAAAGTTGCAAATCCCAGGCCCCACAGGCATGTAAATGGCTGCTGCCAGATGGGGGAGGGAGGAGGGGTTGCGCGAGGGTGCAGGAGAGGGTTACGGAGGGTGTGCGAGGGAGAGTCAGGGAGTGTGCAAGAGGTGCCACATGGGTTGTGGAGGGTGTGTAAAGGTGTGCAAGAGGTGCCGCGTGGGTTAGGGAGGGTGCACGAGAGTCATGGTGCAGGTCAGGGAGAGTGTGCGATAGTGTGAGGGGGTGTGCAAGAAGCGCTGCGCAGGTCGGGGAGGGTGCGTGAGAGTTGCAGGTTGGGGAGAGTACATGAAGGTGTGAGGGGATTATACTCCTACAAATAAGATAGAATAATGTCTTTTTCTTAGAGAAAATCACTCATAAAATCTAGGGTAAACAAATGCATGGTACAGACAGTCATTTAGTGATTGCCTCGTATAGCAATCATTCATAGTTACAACAGTGATGAAAAAGTAACTTTGTGACCAATCCTCACATTTACGACCTTCGCTGGTCTGTAAAACAAAAGAAAACTGAAGTAAGATGATAAGCACAGTCGCAGTTTCATTTAGCAACTGCTTCAATGAATGTCCGAGTTGCCAGTCCCAATTGTGGTTGCTAAATGAGGACAACCTGTAATTCACTTGAACAAGTAAGAGACAACCTCATCAACAACAAAATTGAATACAAGTCTTTCTATTTTTTACTTCTACTTCTGAGCATAAGAAATATTTTTTTTACTGGAGTATTTTTAATATCACACTTTCAGTTTTTATTCCTGAAATGTCTACAGTTGCAAGATTTCATAATAACATTTCCTGTTTAAAAAATGATTCCCATAAAATGGACTGTGTCTGAAGAACAGAGACATATTCAGGCGTTAAAAATATGTCATTATAATCAGTGGAACTGGAGAGAGGAGCTGCCTTCACTAAGCCTATACCAACTAGCAGAACTGAGGAGGAAATTCTACCCTATGCGCATAGCATCCCAGCAAGAGATTTAACTGTGATCCAGTAGGGAGGCTACATATGTAGAACTGAATGCTCCCCCCTCACTTCCTCCAATCTTTGCTTTTAACATACGGACAATGGCAGAAATAGAAATAAACTGGGTCAGCAAGTATGAGCTTACTTTCTTCTTCACGTGATTTCAATCATATTAAAGTTGAAACAAATAGAATGGAGGGGTAGGGAGAGGCAGAAGGCCATACTTGATCTCTCAATTGTGTGCCTGGGAGGCACAATTTAAAGTGTAGGTGGGATAAGGTCAGGACAAAACTAAATCTGCTTTAATTTAAATTTAATTAAACTTAAATTCATCAAATATTTTAATACAGATAATTCCCAGGTTAAGAATGCCCGGTTTAAGGGTGACCCATAGTTAAGAACAGAGCCTATTGTAGCAAAATTCGAGTTAAATACATAATGATTCGAGTTCATTACACAATACTACTTATACAGTATGATACAATAATACTGTTCCAGCTTACATACAAATTCGACTTATGACAGACCTTGGGAACGGAACTCATTCTTAAACTGGGGACTACCTGTATTATTATTGTATTTCTGCATAAAAGATCTAACGTAGTACATCCTGGACCTAATCCTATATAACTACTAACACAATAATGAAATACTAGATTAGTCTATTCATATGTGGACCACTCTTCAATAAGTTTCTAACATCATCCTAGCTTTATAAGATGCTAAAATAATACCACATTCATTTACTTCAAACAAACATTAAACATGGGATGCTCAGGATATACCTGAATAATACTGAAGAATGAGCAAACATAAGATAGATATTTTTGTTTATTTGTATAGTTATGCTAGTATTTGTAATTCTATAAAAGATACAAAATAGTTGCTCATGCTTCATACATTTTGTGCAACTATCCCATATTTATTTGATTTTAAGATTTCCCACTATCATAATTTGAACTTCTAAAAAAAATTATCTCTGTGCACTGGCTCAAATTCTGAATGCGTACTACCTGAATAAGGACCAAGTGACACAGTCCAACGGACAGTAAGTCCAAGTAATACAGTAATTGTGATTAAGCTCCATTTCTCCATAGCTGGTCTTCAGTCCAGACCTGGAAATAAGAAAAGGAACAATTATACTACACATTATTTTAACTAGTTTTGTCCTAGTCTATGACCATAATAAAACTATTTATCTGTGATATCACACCATTCTGTTCCTAAAGGCAGCAACCCAATATGGCCTTTTTATAAAGCTATTATGGGAAAAATAAAACCAGTGAAAACAAAGAGTGAATCCAGCACAATAGCAGAGAATGCTGTTCTGTAGTAGCCAGAAATGCTATTGAAACAATCATGATCCATTGATATCATTTTATGAGGAGGAAAAAGTAGCTGACTTGGTTAAATGTTAGGGCTATTGATAATGAGAGAAATTGGGTGAGCTAAAAAAGATAAATAAATAGAATGTGAGCCTCTGTAATCATTTTTAAAAGTATAGTTAATGTAATCATCTCAATTCTAGATACAAAATTCTACAAGAACTGCCTCATCTAAAAAATTATAGCAGGCAGAGATTATGTTTGCATAGCATACTGAACAACAAGAGTTAGAGTACACATGAAATCTCAGTCATGACCAAAATGTATATATAATTATATGCATATTCTGTTAAGAAATAAATTCTATTGATGACTTACTCCCAAATACAGGTATAAAGATAAGAAAGGGAGCTGAAGTACTATATTAAATTTATTTTAATATATGTTTTATTATAAATTAATATTATATTGTTACAACATCTCATTATTATACATATTACATCTTATTAATTACAACATCAATAATTATCCCCCAAATATAAAAACAACAAAAAATAACCACAAAATAATTAAAAACATTAAAAAATAAACTATTTAAAACCATTAAAACACAATCTGCTGTAAAGTACCATTCATTTTCCTAAACATATAGCCATTTAGTGGGCCTTCCACCAACATCACCAGATCCCCAGGCCAGATGGCAAATTATTCAATTAACTCTATTTCTGGTGTCTACACACACACTGAACTATAAACTAATTAATAGACTGAATTTGCACAACACTAGGCTAAAATGTGTATTGTGCAAACCCAGCCTTTGTTTCTATTTGAGAAACATACATATGTCTGTCCCTACCTTCTTTACTTTAGAAATATAACCTAATTGTATCTTAATTTTTGTCCAAAGGATAATGGGCTGGTTGTACTAGTTTATGATTGTTTTTGCAGGGCACAGAGTTTCTGTCCTGCTTGCATTTAATCAGAAGATGAATATACTTTTGGGACTTGTTTATTTTACCATATCCCCAAGGCATCTTCATCTCATCCCCAGCCAATGCATGACACAAGGTTAAATCCTTAGCTGTTCCACTTTTAAACCCATGTTTTCCTACTTAAGCTGACCACAACCCATAACAAGTGAATATATTCTAATGTTTTTCTACTACGATTCTGTTGGCACTGCAATCAGACTTGTAAGAAATGGGGTTCCTTTCCTTTCCTCTCCCTTTCTTGATGGCAAACTGCCTAGTAAGAAAAGTGAGCCTTTCCTGATTTACCAGGCAGCCAACTGAATCCCTCAGATATAATTGCAAAGACACTGGACAGTTGGTCTATGGCATGTGTGAGTTGCCTGGTAAAGCTGCAGGATTGTTCTTAGTCCACTGCAACTGGCTTCTGCAAGATTGGAATAAGCAGTGGGAATAGCAAAATTGGTGCTGATTTTAGTTACCTGCTGGCTCAAAGGCAGGTGAATATCATTTTAACTGAGCCATGGGGAAAGGGCCATACTAAATACAAATCATCCAAAGCAGTGCATTTTAGAAATCCTGCCAGTGTAGTTAATTTGTGATTCAATGTGTCACATAAAACCAGAAAATTGGGTTGACTAAACCAATGTCAGGTATACTATGGGTACACATGTCAGTCTTAGAATTAAATATTGTAAGATTCAAATGGAAATGGAGTACTTTTCACAAATCATTGACAAGTGCTACATTTCAAAGCAAATTAAGCTTGATTTTGACATACCTACACAGAAAATATTTTTGTTCTTCACCCATTTAATTAAACCAGATTATCTATCTCATAATAGGATAGACCAGACATTACGATTTGGCATTCTGTATTAAACCCAGTTATCGTTGCCTGAAAACCATGGTATAGCAGCTTGTGTGAATCCAGCCTCTAACTTTGGTTCAAGCAACCTTCTCCAGCTGAGGATCATGTACACTGATAGTCACATCAATCCTGGTTACCATATCAATGACTATATTTATGCAATGTACAGAATCACAAAGTAGTCAATCACATTTTAGCTATATAAATACTTTAGGATTCATTTTATACCCATGCAGAAAACTGAATGTCAATGAAGCATGCCTGAGAATAAATGGAATTCTTAGCAAATGGTTCAACATTAAACAAGGAGTAAGACAAGGATGTGTAATGTCCTTTGATTGTTTAATATATTTATAGATAAATGTATAAGGAATGCTTGTTGGATCATTAATTTTTGGTTATTTTTTTATAACCAAATAAAACAAGATATGATTTTACCTTACTTGCAAGACACCAAGAGTTTGATTAGACTGCAGTGATGTAGAAATCTAATAAATAAATACAATGTTAGACAGAATGCACAATGTAACAAGGAGTATGGATCTGGAAATTACAGTATCAGAGTAGTTGTGTTTGACAGGGAATATGGAGTGAATGCAGGTTATAGATGGTGAAATGCAGGTTATAGATGGTGAAAAACTATAACTATAAAACTATAACAGATGAAATTGCATACCTTGGTAGCATGGGAAAATGGTTGAAGAAATTTAAAGAAGGATAAATGTTGGTATAAAGACAGTAGGTAATACATGGTCTGTTATCAGGAACAAACACTTATCAAAAGAAGCAAAAAAAATAGCTGTTCACTTTCTTACAAGTCTGATATGTCAAGAAAAACAAAAAAGGTGAAGGCAATGGAAATGTAGTATTTAAGAAGTATGCACGGGAGCTGGGCATTAAAACAAGAAGAGATAAAATCAAGAAGTGAGTGCCAAATTAATGTGGGTCAAATAAAGAAATTAGTGACTAGCATGAAGTAGTATGTTGAAGTGATTTGATCATAGAGAAAGAGTAAAATTGTACTGCAGAATAAATATATGAAGAGTGGGCTGAGAGAAAAGGGAAGACTCAGAAAGTTGTGATTGGATGGTGTTGATGAAATCCTCTAAAATGGAGAGGTGAGAAATTTAAAGAAGAAAAGACAACATATGGACATGGTGAAAACGAGGATGATTCACATGGACAGAAAGATAAGTAGTTTCATGAATGGTATTGATGTAAACTAGTTTTAGCTATACAGTATTTCCTTTTATTTTTATTTCATGTTTTAAATTTCTTGCTCTTTTCCTACACAACATTACATACCTCAAAGGGAACAGCATGATGGGTATGTATGCTTATACAAGAATGTATATTTATTCAAGAATGTATAAACATTCCACAGAATGTAGCACAATTATCTAGGAAGCATCATTGGTATTTATGGAAGGAAACCAGATTAGGGCTCTGGTGAACATTTAACCATTGCCCCATATGCAACCTGTGCATACAGTTAAAATTTCCTCAACCCCCATACTTTCAGTAGGCAAAGCATTCTACCCCATAAGAGTCACATCCCACACCAGGAAACGCTGTAGTTAGGAACACAGTTCCTAAAGGCAAAGCAGCTCTTGAAGAAAAGAGGAGGCTGGTAATGATCTCTGTCCTGTCACAGTCCACGAAAGCTCCTCCCTTCCTGAATGGAAGATCCAGCTTCGTACCAAAAGCCGCCCTGCCTCTGTATCGCTTGCCCTGCCTGCAGCACAGCCTTCCCCAGCCTGGCGCCCTCCAAATCACCACCACCATTGGCGTAACTCCCGGCCGTTGGCAAGGCTGTTGGGGATTTCTCAACGGTTCTGGAAGGCACGAAACTGAACAACCATAAGTGAGAAAATGCAGTTCCTGATCCCCGAAGGGATACAAGCGCTCCTCCTGACAGAAAACGCCAAGCCCCTTCCAGCTCAGAAGCGCGCGTTCGACTCCTTTCCGGAGCGTTTATAAATCCCGCCTTTGTCTCACGCCATGTCTTCCACCGCGAGCCAGCCAATCGACCGCCCCACCCGCCATCGAACTCTCTCCGACTCACCGAAACTGACAGGCACGTGAAGGGACTCACTGGGCGTGCGCGCGTCCGATCCACTCATTGGTCCCGCCTTACTCGCTGGCCGCATGCGCAACAGATTTCCTGAGTGGGTGGCGCGCGCGTCGTGACGTTACACTTCCCGCTCTTGCTCCGTCGAGGTTGTTTTTCAGTAGACTCGTCAAAGTCAGCGGAGGTAGTTACGTTGTCTTGTGGCTGCTGATTTTAGGTGAGGCTAGCCTCGCAGGAGATTAAGATAAATATGTGTGCATTTACTGTGGCAACATTATGCTGTTTATTTTATAAACAACACAAATATAGCTC